CCACTGCGTGTGTTCTCTCTTCACCTGCCTGCCTACCCCAATGCCAGAATGCATGCAGGATCCTGCTCTAGGAGCAGAGCCTGCTCTATCACACCCCTCCCACTGCGTGTGTTCTCTCTTCACCTGCCTGCCTACCCCAATGCCAGAATGCATGCAGGATCCTGCTCTAGGAGCAGAGCCTGCTCTATCACACCCCTCCCACTGCGTGTGTTCTCTCTTCACCTGCCTGCCTACCCCAATGCCAGAATGCATGCAGGATCCTGCTCTAGGAGCAGAGCCTGCTCTATCACACCCCTCCCACTGCGTGTGTTCTCTCTTCACCTGCCTGCCTACCCCAATGCCAGAATGCATGCAGGATCCTGCTCTAGGAGCAGAGCCTGCTCTATCACACCCCTCCCACTGCGTGTGTTCTCTCTTCACCTGCCTGCCTACCCCAATGCCAGAATGCATGCAGGATCCTGCTCTAGGAGCAGAGCCTGCTCTATCACACCCCTCCCACTGCGTGTGTTCTCTCTTCACCTGCCTGCCTACCCCAATGCCAGAATGCATGCAGGATCCTGCTCTAGGAGCAGAGCCTGCTCTATCACACCCCTCCCACTGCGTGTGTTCTCTCTTCACCTGCCTGCCTACCCCAATGCCAGAATGCATGCAGGATCCTGCTCTAGGAGCAGAGCCTGCTCTATCACACCCCTCCCACTGCGTGTGTTCTCTCTTCACCTGCCTGCCTACCCCAATGCCAGAATGCATGCAGGATCCTGCTCTAGGAGCAGAGCCTGCTCTATCACACCCCTCCCACTGCGTGTGTTCTCTCTTCACCTGCCTGCCTACCCCAATGCCAGAATGCATGCAGGATCCTGCTCTAGGAGCAGAGCCTGCTCTATCACACCCCTCCCACTGCGTGTGTTCTCTCTTCACCTGCCTGCCTACCCCAATGCCAGAATGCATGCAGGATCCTGCTCTAGGAGCAGAGCCTGCTCTATCACACCCCTCCCACTGCGTGTGTTCTCTCTTCACCTGCCTGCCTACCCCAATGCCAGAATGCATGCAGGATCCTGCTCTAGGAGCAGAGCCTGCTCTATCACACCCCTCCCACTGCGTGTGTTCTCTCTTCACCTGCCTGCCTACCCCAATGCCAGAATGCATGCAGGATCCTGCTCTAGGAGCAGAGCCTGCTCTATCACACCCCTCCCACTGCGTGTGTTCTCTCTTCACCTGCCTGCCTACCCCAATGCCAGAATGCATGCAGGATCCTGCTCTAGGAGCAGAGCCTGCTCTATCACACCCCTCCCACTGCGTGTGTTCTCTCTTCACCTGCCTGCCTACCCCAATGCCAGAATGCATGCAGGATCCTGCTCTAGGAGCAGAGCCTGCTCTATCACACCCCTCCCACTGCGTGTGTTCTCTCTTCACCTGCCTGCCTACCCCAATGCCAGAATGCATGCAGGATCCTGCTCTAGGAGCAGAGCCTGCTCTATCACACCCCTCCCACTGCGTGTGTTCTCTCTTCACCTGCCTGCCTACCCCAATGCCAGAATGCATGCAGGATCCTGCTCTAGGAGCAGAGCCTGCTCTATCACACCCCTCCCACTGCGTGTGTTCTCTCTTCACCTGCCTGCCTACCCCAATGCCAGAATGCATGCAGGATCCTGCTCTAGGAGCAGAGCCTGCTCTATCACACCCCTCCCACTGCGTGTGTTCTCTCTTCACCTGCCTGCCTACCCCAATGCCAGAATGCATGCAGGATCCTGCTCTAGGAGCAGAGCCTGCTCTATCACACCCCTCCCACTGCGTGTGTTCTCTCTTCACCTGCCTGCCTACCCCAATGCCAGAATGCATGCAGGATCCTGCTCTAGGAGCAGAGCCTGCTCTATCACACCCCTCCCACTGCGTGTGTTCTCTCTTCACCTGCCTGCCTACCCCAATGCCAGAATGCATGCAGGATCCTGCTCTAGGAGCAGAGCCTGCTCTATCACACCCCTCCCACTGCGTGTGTTCTCTCTTCACCTGCCTGCCTACCCCAATGCCAGAATGCATGCAGGATCCTGCTCTAGGAGCAGAGCCTGCTCTATCACACCCCTCCCACTGCGTGTGTTCTCTCTTCACCTGCCTGCCTACCCCAATGCCAGAATGCATGCAGGATCCTGCTCTAGGAGCAGAGCCTGCTCTATCACACCCCTCCCACTGCGTGTGTTCTCTCTTCACCTGCCTGCCTACCCCAATGCCAGAATGCATGCAGGATCCTGCTCTAGGAGCAGAGCCTGCTCTATCACACCCCTCCCACTGCGTGTGTTCTCTCTTCACCTGCCTGCCTACCCCAATGCCAGAATGCATGCAGGATCCTGCTCTAGGAGCAGAGCCTGCTCTATCACACCCCTCCCACTGCGTGTGTTCTCTCTTCACCTGCCTGCCTACCCCAATGCCAGAATGCATGCAGGATCCTGCTCTAGGAGCAGAGCCTGCTCTATCACACCCCTCCCACTGCGTGTGTTCTCTCTTCACCTGCCTGCCTACCCCAATGCCAGAATGCATGCAGGATCCTGCTCTAGGAGCAGAGCCTGCTCTATCACACCCCTCCCACTGCGTGTGTTCTCTCTTCACCTGCCTGCCTACCCCAATGCCAGAATGCATGCAGGATCCTGCTCTAGGAGCAGAGCCTGCTCTATCACACCCCTCCCACTGCGTGTGTTCTCTCTTCACCTGCCTGCCTACCCCAATGCCAGAATGCATGCAGGATCCTGCTCTAGGAGCAGAGCCTGCTCTATCACACCCCTCCCACTGCGTGTGTTCTCTCTTCACCTGCCTGCCTACCCCAATGCCAGAATGCATGCAGGATCCTGCTCTAGGAGCAGAGCCTGCTCTATCACACCCCTCCCACTGCGTGTGTTCTCTCTTCACCTGCCTGCCTACCCCAATGCCAGAATGCATGCAGGATCCTGCTCTAGGAGCAGAGCCTGCTCTATCACACCCCTCCCACTGCGTGTGTTCTCTCTTCACCTGCCTGCCTACCCCAATGCCAGAATGCATGCAGGATCCTGCTCTAGGAGCAGAGCCTGCTCTATCACACCCCTCCCACTGCGTGTGTTCTCTCTTCACCTGCCTGCCTACCCCAATGCCAGAATGCATGCAGGATCCTGCTCTAGGAGCAGAGCCTGCTCTATCACACCCCTCCCACTGCGTGTGTTCTCTCTTCACCTGCCTGCCTACCCCAATGCCAGAATGCATGCAGGATCCTGCTCTAGGAGCAGAGCCTGCTCTATCACACCCCTCCCACTGCGTGTGTTCTCTCTTCACCTGCCTGCCTACCCCAATGCCAGAATGCATGCAGGATCCTGCTCTAGGAGCAGAGCCTGCTCTATCACACCCCTCCCACTGCGTGTGTTCTCTCTTCACCTGCCTGCCTACCCCAATGCCAGAATGCATGCAGGATCCTGCTCTAGGAGCAGAGCCTGCTCTATCACACCCCTCCCACTGCGTGTGTTCTCTCTTCACCTGCCTGCCTACCCCAATGCCAGAATGCATGCAGGATCCTGCTCTAGGAGCAGAGCCTGCTCTATCACACCCCTCCCACTGCGTGTGTTCTCTCTTCACCTGCCTGCCTACCCCAATGCCAGAATGCATGCAGGATCCTGCTCTAGGAGCAGAGCCTGCTCTATCACACCCCTCCCACTGCGTGTGTTCTCTCTTCACCTGCCTGCCTACCCCAATGCCAGAATGCATGCAGGATCCTGCTCTAGGAGCAGAGCCTGCTCTATCACACCCCTCCCACTGCGTGTGTTCTCTCTTCACCTGCCTGCCTACCCCAATGCCAGAATGCATGCAGGATCCTGCTCTAGGAGCAGAGCCTGCTCTATCACACCCCTCCCACTGCGTGTGTTCTCTCTTCACCTGCCTGCCTACCCCAATGCCAGAATGCATGCAGGATCCTGCTCTAGGAGCAGAGCCTGCTCTATCACACCCCTCCCACTGCGTGTGTTCTCTCTTCACCTGCCTGCCTACCCCAATGCCAGAATGCATGCAGGATCCTGCTCTAGGAGCAGAGCCTGCTCTATCACACCCCTCCCACTGCGTGTGTTCTCTCTTCACCTGCCTGCCTACCCCAATGCCAGAATGCATGCAGGATCCTGCTCTAGGAGCAGAGCCTGCTCTATCACACCCCTCCCACTGCGTGTGTTCTCTCTTCACCTGCCTGCCTACCCCAATGCCAGAATGCATGCAGGATCCTGCTCTAGGAGCAGAGCCTGCTCTATCACACCCCTCCCACTGCGTGTGTTCTCTCTTCACCTGCCTGCCTACCCCAATGCCAGAATGCATGCAGGATCCTGCTCTAGGAGCAGAGCCTGCTCTATCACACCCCTCCCACTGCGTGTGTTCTCTCTTCACCTGCCTGCCTACCCCAATGCCAGAATGCATGCAGGATCCTGCTCTAGGAGCAGAGCCTGCTCTATCACACCCCTCCCACTGCGTGTGTTCTCTCTTCACCTGCCTGCCTACCCCAATGCCAGAATGCATGCAGGATCCTGCTCTAGGAGCAGAGCCTGCTCTATCACACCCCTCCCACTGCGTGTGTTCTCTCTTCACCTGCCTGCCTACCCCAATGCCAGAATGCATGCAGGATCCTGCTCTAGGAGCAGAGCCTGCTCTATCACACCCCTCCCACTGCGTGTGTTCTCTCTTCACCTGCCTGCCTACCCCAATGCCAGAATGCATGCAGGATCCTGCTCTAGGAGCAGAGCCTGCTCTATCACACCCCTCCCACTGCGTGTGTTCTCTCTTCACCTGCCTGCCTACCCCAATGCCAGAATGCATGCAGGATCCTGCTCTAGGAGCAGAGCCTGCTCTATCACACCCCTCCCACTGCGTGTGTTCTCTCTTCACCTGCCTGCCTACCCCAATGCCAGAATGCATGCAGGATCCTGCTCTAGGAGCAGAGCCTGCTCTATCACACCCCTCCCACTGCGTGTGTTCTCTCTTCACCTGCCTGCCAACCGCAATGCATGCAGGACCCTGCCCTGGCAGCAGAGGCATCAGCGCTTGTAGCAGCGTGTGGTGACGTGATGATGGCTGGATACACGGCTCTCTCGCAGCTCTATCAGACGGGCGGCGAGGCGGAAGTGGAGGCTGCAATGGGTGAGAGATAGGCGCATGGCATCGTACGTGTGTGAGGGTGCAAGGCTTTGCATTTGTTGTTTGGCCTTTTTGCATATCTATCAGACAGGCGGCGAGGCAGAAGTGGAGGCTGCTATGGGTGAGAGTTATGTGCATGGGATGCTATGGTATGGTACGTGTGACAACCTTACCATCATATCTTGAAGTGTATAAGGTAAAATTCGACAAATTGTTTAATTTCCCAAGGACCCAGATCAGGCATGGTGAGAAACAATATACGCTTGGATGTAGGAGCAGTGCAATTGAGGCTGCTCAGCTGAATGATACAATTTCCTACAGTTTGGTGTACGTTTCCTGACAGATGTTTTCATACCTTTGTTGCCCACTAAACTACCTAGTCTAGGCTATAATTTTTTTTTTTTCTGTTATCCTTGTGCCATGTCATCATCTCGTGTCCGTCAGGACCACATCTAGACTCCATAGAGGCGAGCCTGGGCAAGCACCAAGGGAGTGGGCTGAGTTGACTTCTGAGCTGACTAAAAAACCACGGTTATTTTTCTCGTTAATTGCTGTGCCATGTCATCTTCTCGTGCCCATCAGGATCGCATCTAGACTCCTTAGAGGCGAGTCTGGGCAAGCACCAAGAGAATGGGCCCTTCTTTCTAGGAAGCTTCTCATACGTAAGTCTCTAAACCAAACCAGTGTCACATCTTGGCAGGGGTCCTATGCCTCCATATAATGCCATATGTGAATGTTAGCTCTATTAGTTTTATGTGTCGTAGCATGCTCTAATAGTCATACTTCACGAGGCTCAAAACGAGGAAACACCTATCTTCTCGAGGTGCTTTCTTCGTTTTCTTCCATCGCCTATCTTCCCTTTTCGGAGCGACTTCCTCACAAAAATCATTTGGCGCAGTCGCCTTCAAGCTCGTGAACTAACTATACCACAAGGTTTTTTTCATAACCTCATTCAGTACCCCGTTTCCCCCATCAATGCTTCCACCACTTCCCCCCATCCACCTATTCCACTCTCACTCTTCCTATCTTTCCAGGTTGGCATCGCTTATCTGCCCTTCCTAGATCTGTTTCGCATTGCATTTGACCATTTCTGCCGCACTGCCATCACCAAGGAGAGATACTCCTCTGTTGCTTCCTCCTCAGCACAGCCCTTCCATCCCCCACCCTCTCTCTCCCCTCCCTTCCCCCATCAGGTGGACATCGCCTATCTGCCCTTCCTGGAGCGATTCAATATCACCTATGACCATTTCTGCCGCACAGACATCACCCAGGGGAAGTGCTCGTATGTTTGTTCCTCCTCAGCACAACCCCTCGCCCCACCCTTCATCCCCCCTCCCTTCCCCCATCAGGTAGACATCGCCTATCTGCCCTTCCTGGAGCGGTTCCGCATCGCCTTTGACCATTTCTGCTGCACCAACATTACCCAGTGCCTCGTTTGCCTCCCCCACCAGACCTGTCGTCTCCTCATACTCTCTGTCTGTCTCTCCTCACTTCCTCAGGTGGATATCGCCTATCTGCCCTTCCTGGAGCGGTTCCGCATCGCCTTTGAGCACTTCTGCCGCACTGACATCGCCGTTGCTGCTTCCTCTCCCATTCTCTTCATCCCTCCCCATCAGGTGGATATCGCCTATCTGCCTTTCCTGGAGCGGTTCCGCATCGCCTTTGACCATGCAAAAATCGACTCAAAAATCGACTCAAAAATCGACTCAAAAATCGACTCAAAAATCGACTCAAAAATCGACTCAAAAATCGACTCAAAAATCGACTCAAAAATCGACTCAAAAATCGACTCAAAAATCGACTCAAAAATCGACTCAAAAATCGACTCAAAAATCGACTCAAAAATCGACTCAAAAATCGACTCAAAAATCGACTCAAAAATCGACTCAAAAATCGACTCAAAAATCGACTCAAAAATCGACTCAAAAATCGACTCAAAAATCGACTCAAAAATCGACTCAAAAATCGACTCAAAAATCGACTCAAAAATCGACTCAAAAATCGACTCACTACACGCTGGCTGCCGTGCACCGTCCAAGTCCAAGTCCATGTCCAACCTCTCCCCCCCCTCCCCCACTCCATCCCTCCCTCCAGGTGGACATTGCCTATCTGCCCTTCCTGGAGCGATTCAAGATCGCATTTGACCATCTCTGCCACACAGACATCACCAAGGGGATATGCTCTGTTTCTTCAGCACAGCCTTTCCATGCCCCACCCTTCATCTCCCTCCCCTCCAGGTGGACATTGCCTATCTGCCCTTCCTGGAGCGATTCAATATCGCGTTCGAGCACTTCTGCCACACAGACATCACCAAGGGCCGCCCCAACCTGCAGCGCTGGTTTGAGGTACGATCTGAGGAGATGTAGTGTGGTGTGAGATGGTGTGAGGCGGTGGTTTGTTTTGGTGTGTAAGAAATTGCCTTCGTTATTTCTGCCACACTGACGTCACCAAGGACCGCCCGAACCTGCAGCGCTGGTTCGTTCGGTGTGTAGCGATGGTGCGAGGTACACTGTGAGGCAGTGGTTTGGTGTGCAGTGTGATGCGGTGGAGTGGTTTGACGTATATGCTGTGAGGTGGTGGTTTGGTGTAGTGCATGCGAGTTCATTAGACCATTTCTGCCACACCTACTTCACCAAGGGTCACCCGAACCTGTCGCGCTGGTTTCAGGTACGTTTTGATGCGGTGTTACGCGGTGTGAGACGGTGGTGTGGCGTGCGGTGTGAGGCGGTGGTGTGGTGTGCGGTGTGAGGCGGCGGTTTGGTGTGCAGCAGTAAGAGTTGTGAGTACCTTTTACCTTTTCTTCCAAACTGACAGCACCAAGGGCCTCCTGAAACCTGCAGCGCTCGTTCAAGGTACGGTGTGAGGTGCTGTGATGCGGTGGTGTGGTGTGGTGTGGTTTTAGGGATATGCTGTGAGGTGGTGGTTTGGTGTAGCGCATGCAAGAGTGCATTTGACCATTTCTGCCGCACCGATATCCCAAGGGCCGGCCGAACCTGCAGCGCTGACTCGAGGTACGGTGTGAGGCGTATGTTTGGAGTGCGGCAGTCGGAAGTGTGGTGCTCCCTCCCCCCATATAGAGCGAGATGCCATCATTACTACTTACCTCTCATTCTGCTCCTTCTCCACTAATCTTCCTTTCCCTACCTCTCACCCCCTGCAGGCAGCAGCAAGCATGCAGACATAAACAGACACGTGCATGGAGCGAGATGCTATCATCACCACCCATCATCAGCACCCGCCTTTCTGCTCCCTCCCCCTTCTACCTTCTAATCTTCTCGTCTTCATGCATGCCGCAGCAAGCGTCCAGGCATACACAGACACATGCATGGAGCGGGGTGCCATCATCACTACCTGCCTTTCATGACTCTGCCCCCACCCCCCTTCTAATCTTGTACCCTCTAACCCTCTCTTCCTCTGCAGGCAGCAGCAACCGTCCAGGCATACGCAGACACATGCATGGAACGAGATGCCATCACCACCATCCGCCTCTTATCCATTGTTCTGCTCTCCTGAACTCCTCTCCTCCTTCGTCCTCTGCAGGCAGCAGCCACCATCCAGGCATACACAGACACATGCATGGAGCGAGATGCCATCATCACTACCTACCATCCATGACCCTGCCCCCCCCCCCCCCCCCCCCCCTTGTAATCCTCTTGTACCCTCTAATCTTCTCTTCTTCACGCAGGCAGCATCCACCATCCAGGCATACGCAGACACATGCATGGAGCGAGATGCCATCGTCACTACCTACCATTCATCCATTCTGCTCCAACTCCCCCCCCCTCCCCCCTCCATTTCCTCTCTAATTTCCAATGTTCTCTTCTTCCTGCAGGCAGCAGCGGCCATCCAGGCATACACAGACACGTGCATGGAGCGAGAGGCCACCATCACTACCTATCAACAGATGCTGGTGCGTTGACCTGCCCACACATGCATGCATGGACGTGTAGGGTGCATGGCGCGGGATGCCATCATCACTACCTACAAACAGATGCTGGTGTGTTGCAGTGCACATGCATGCATGGGCATGCTCGAGTGTGCATGTTCGTGCATGGGTGCATGGGTGCTTGAGTGCATGGTTGTGCATGGGTGTTCATGGGTGCATGGGTGCCCATGGTTGCATGGGTGCATGGGTGCACGGATGCATGGGTTGAGGGATGCATGGGTGCATGCATGCATGGGTGTGCATGGGTGCGTGGGTGTGGATGGATGTGCATGGGTGCACGGGTGCATGGAGTAAGACGCCATCATCACCACCTACCAACAGATGCTGCTTGGTTGCATGGGTGAATGGGAGCATAGGCGCATGGATGCATGGTTGCATGGGTGCATGGGTGCATGCATGCATGGGTGCATGGAATGTGGGGTCATTGTGACAAGCTTCCAGGCATCTCAAGACGAGGTTCTGGTGCGTTGGTGTGCACATGATTGGGTGCATGAAATCTGGTTAGATGGCATGTTCCCATATAGCACACTCTCCTTTATGGCATTTTCCTATATAGCACATTCCCCCGTGACACTCTCTCCCATCTGACACGCGCATGCATGTTTGCTCACATTGGTTTTGCTTTCCTTCAAAATCTTTCATCCTCCAGCTTCTCATGTTTTATGCTTGTCACTTTCACGGGCATGTGTTACAGGATAACAAGTACTTTGAGAGAGCAGGGGTGGCAAGCTCAACAACTGCCGCACCAGCTGCAGCTGCTGAGACATAGTTGGGGGTTCTTATGGCACTTGTTCATTGCTGCTGTAACGTGTTCTGGTGTTCTTTTGATCTTTGTAAGAGGATTCTCTAACTGTTCAAACAATGACTTCAAACATCAGAACACTAGGAAGTAGCGTCAAAAACAACTTAACATTGTGCCAGCACATGGCTTGTGCACACTTAGGTGGTAGAAGTTAGTATGGTCCATAGTGTCTACATGTTCTACCGTATTGTCCGTGCAATAAAATAAATAGTAATATCGGCAGTATGAAAACGAAGTCGTTGCAGCCTTCTGGCTGCTGAACCACAGTGTACTACCATGCTCCAACGGCACATTTCATGGGAAAATATGCCATTCGTAACCATCATGGGACTCAAAAACATTTTTGGTTAAAAAAAAAAAGGGTACGGTCACTGCAAAGGGTGGTTTCATGCGACTGATAAAGCGTTTCACGGAATCAGTCACAATCAACTGGTAAAAAAAAACGTGAATGGTCACAGATGAAACTCCCGCCAAAACAAAATGAAACCCAAAAAGAATCTGGATGCATTTTCGGATGGTCAACCCTAAACACGTAACTCGCCAGGTATTTAGGATTGATCCGTTCCCAAACCGCATCCGATTCCGATTGGGTTTTAGGGTGCGTTCCTGTGGAGACACTTGTGTCTCAATCAGGGCCTCAGATGTCAGGAATTTTACCCTGAATTGCTGAAGTTTGACCCCCGTTTTTTATCATGACCCTGATGCATCAGCCTTTTTTTTTCAACGACCCTGATGTTTCAGTGTTTTTAAATTTCGAACTCTGATTTTCCAGTGTTTTGTGTTTGAGGACACTGACGAGTCAGTGTTGTATCGGGGTCTACCCTGAAACCGAAAACTCCTTGTTTTGGCGCGCCGTCACTGTGCACCGTGCACCAAGGGGATTTCTGGCGAAACATGCTCTGACAGGGCGAATCTCTTGTGTGAGGGGCGAATCTGCTGCTGTGTCAGGGCAAATCTGCTGTGATTGGGCGAATTTGCTGTGCTGCGACAGCGCGTAACGACTGTGCGAGGTCGAATTTGCCGTCAGGGCGAATCTGCTGTGACGAACCAAGTCCGAATCATCAGTCAAGTACACAACCAGAGATCAGAAACAATTCTTAACAATTGTCCTATTCGATTGGTCAGACAAGATTTCTGACCAATCAGACACGGAAATAGCAGAATCCTGGCCGAATTTGGGAATTGTTAAGTGAGGGCAGTCTGATTCGCTGTGTTATAACAGCATACCAGTAAAGCAACTATGCTGATCAGTGTTGAAGTTGTAGAAACCCTGATTGATCAGCGTTTTATTTCTAACAACCCTGTAAATTCAGTGTTTCACACTAGACGACACTGAAAATCAGTGTTACCCTCCTAGGGACACTGAGTGCTCAGGGTACACAAAAACCAATCTGAGGCCCTGGTCTCAATCCCCTTTTTTCCGAGTCGCGTCTACACATTTTTGCAATATCGCGTCACAAAAAATGAGTGTATCACGAAACTGTGCGACCAGATGAAATTTGTTAGAATCACTAGTAGCTAGGTGAGGAATGATGATTAGGTGAGGGAGAGGGGGTACAAGAGTGTCGAGAGAGTTGGGTTGTACCCTCTAAGGTGTGACCCTACACAACCTAGAGTAAGAACATAACAATATGTTTTGACACACCCCCATAGGTGAAGTAGGGGATAGCCAAACCTAACAGTGGTCACAAGACCAGTCAAGCAACAGATAAGCAAGGCAAAGCCCAGGGTGGATCTCAAGGACACCACACAATCTGAGCACAAGCAGGCGGCCACAAGGCCAGTTCACATGCAGATTTATAATAGCAAGGCAGTAAACATGCAGGTATAAAGATATATATAGCAGTGTATAACAAGAGCAAGTCAAGCAACCAGCAGGTGAGGCAGAGTGGGAACAAGCCCAAGAGCAGTGCAGAAACGCTGATGATCACCAGCCCCAAGGGCCTTGGTGAAGACATCAGCAGTGTTGGCCCGAGAGGCCACGAAAGCAAGGCGCAGCTGACCACGCTGCTGCAGCTCATGCGCAAGGAAGTAGCGCAGAGCAATGTGCTTCGTTCTGTGCTCCAGTCTCTGCTCGCGTCACAAGGCAAGCATTGCCTTGTTGTCGACGTACAGAACTGGAGGAGAACGAGGCCGCTCCCCCAAGTCGGTCAGCAGGTAGGTCAGCCAGCGGAGCTCCTGTGCAGCCATGGCCCCAGCGTAGATCTCGGCCTCACAACTGGAACTAAGCACAGAAGAAGAACGAGTGGACCTCCACGAGACAGAACCAGCGCCAAGACTGAAGGTGTAGCCCTGTGACGAACGCTGAGTCGCCTGGTCGTCGGCCCAAGAGGCGTCAGAGTGTCCTGTGAGGACCACCGAACCCCGTCCTCCAAGCACGAGCCCCATGCCCGATGTGCTGCACAAGTAACGCAGTACCCTCTTTGCAGCATCAAAGTGCACCTTTCGGTGCCTACCATATGCCACGTAGCGAGCCAGAAGGCTGAGAGGGTACGCGAGGTCAGGTCGTGTGCACGTCATCAGGTACATGAGGCAGCCCACAAGCTCTGGGTACAGACCACTCGGCTCTACGGACTCGTCCGAAGGTGGAGCTGAGA